GTTGTCAAAGTTGTTTTGGTACTACCCATCCTGGAAAGAAATGCCTACAGGAATGAACGAACTGTCTCACACAAGGAAATACTGCCACTATCAGCAGCAAAACTTCCATTCTTCAGATTCACCAATATAAGAAACTTAACACAACCTGTGCTCATTAAATGCTTACAACTCTGGTTGTATCCATCCCAGTAAAAGGGCTCAGAACGCAGGACTTCCAGCGACATAAAACTATGTTTCTTCACAGGTCTGAAATCATGAAGGCTAATTATTGTTGCTAAGCAACTGGGTATTGGAGCCTGAAGAATACAGCTATAAACTGATTTAACTAACTGATTTAACAGACATATTGCTGTTAACATGATAATTGCATCCCTACCTGCCTGAATATTTGAAGATATTTAACATGATTAAAACAGGAAGCTACCGAAAATGGAACTGTGCCAGTGCTTGCAGAAAAAGCTTTGAAGACATTAGGAAGTGTACATTAGTTACTTCAGAAGAGAGAAAGGCATTCAGCACTGAGTCTGGGGCAGACACACTTGGAGCAATCCTAGCTGGCAGGAACAACCATCCCAGGAAACAACAAAGACCCAGCCAATAACAAAGGAAGGATCTCTGCACACTTTACTGACCTGCTCTTCTGATGGCTGTATTCAGTGTGCCATCTTGTGTGCAGCAGTGATTACTGCACACAATAAATTATAAGACTGTGGGTAGCCATGGCCTCCTGAATATTACTCAAGTTTACCATCAAACTTGCTGGAGCAAAAGAAGTGTCATTTATACACCCTTCATGCGTTTTTTAATTCCCCTGAGCCCCCCTTATGTACAAATTTGTGCCCTATATGACAGCTTGTTTTGATCACACTGGGGTTTTGAACCAAGTTAGTTCCTGTTCTTCTTTTACTTCACATTGCTCTCATGGGTTTCTGATCTTTCTTTTAGAGACACAGTCTAATTACCAATGCAGAGACCTAGTTTAGTTTTTCCACAATTATATTCTTTTACCACCTGTCCACATATAAGGGCTACTGTGATTTTCAGTTATGATGTTTTTTCCACTAGTCATCTGAGAACACAGAAAAGGCAGACCTAGAAAAATTTAAGGAAACATATAGAAGTAACTTGATGGAGTTCTTGTAAAATCCAGCCTCAGAGATACAGTATAGCTAAGATGAGATTAAGAAGAAACCAGAAGCATTTTAAGTAGTAATTCTGTCTGCAGTAGATGTTCCTTTTTCAGAGTGAAAAACGAACAGATGAACATAGCAAACAAGCTTTCTTTAGCTCTCCTCCCACTATAGTTCTACTAGCACATGCAACTGCAGCACAGGGAATTAACAATCCTATTATTTTGCTCAAAGGCCGGTACTGAATAACATTCTACCTTTACTTTCACTTTCATCCCCTTTAACACCCAACAATAATACAATCACCCCCACACAGAAATTCTTAACTTTTTTTTGCTGAAGTTCAGACATGACATTTATTAAATACCAGATCAATGTTATCATTCACAGATTAAGAAGATCAGAGAAGCGAATGGGATATTTCTGTAGTATGAGTGGTTCTATCTTCACAGAAATTGGTGATATCTCCTACTAAATTTACAGTGATATTAATGTATTTTAGCCTCTACATGATTAAACTGCAGAGCAAATGTTTTACTCCGTTCTGTAGGACAGTTAGGAACTTCATTTGCAACTCTGAAAATACTCTTCTACCTACAGCTATTGTTCCACGTGGCAACTGTCATTTGCCTTACTAAGTTTTATGAAGTAGTATGTGTGCTTTCACAACGATTTCCTAAAGACCATTCTCCAGGTTTAAGTGGTATTTTTAATATTTATATGTCTCTGGATGCTCTAAAGCAATCCTTAAAAATAATCAACTGCTCAATATAATAAACTGTCCAAGACTGATGAGTGCACATGTCAGCATTTTCAAAGCCCTGTTTTCTTGCTAAGTCTCACTTTTTATTTGATACATTACCTAAAATCTTGTGGTTTATTATTTTCATAGGCAGCTATAAAATAAGTATAAAATATGCCCATTTGGAAGATTTATTTTTAAAGGCTTGAAAGCAAAGAAAATCTTTGTAACACAAAATCTCTTACTTGAAGTTATGCCAAAATATGTCAAGATTACACCTGGCCTAAACACAGAAGATGCATAGCTTCTCTTGGAGTGTGGCTTTTGTTTTTATTTTTTGAGTTTTGTTGCTTCTTCTTTAAGTACAGAAAAAAGAAGCCAGGTAAAAAACACAGAAGAAACATCACCAACCTCTTATACATATCCAGCAATCCTCCCTTTTGTTGTGTTTAGAGAGCTCATCTTCAGTAACTTCAATCAGCCTCCCTTTCAAACCAGTCAAGTCCTTCCCACTTTTAGTGAGCCGAATCCAATCCATAAGACTCCTTCCTGGTTTTAAAGGTACCTGAAAAATAACAAATATACAAACACCTTCAAGCTCTAAAGGAAGAAAAAGCCATTTTAAGAATACACTTTTCTAAACTCCATAGGAAGGTTCAGTAAAAACAAAAGAGAAATAACCCAACTCATATTATTCACTGATATTTGGGAGACCTACTGAGTAGAAAGGGTGCTTAAATAAGTGTTCTGGGTAGTGACACAGAAATGACTGAACAGCAACACGCATTCAGATGATTCTTCCCAGAGCAAACAATTTACCAACTCTTGCTTGTGGTGGCAAATCATTCGAGATATGGTCTGGAAAATTGTGAGCAATAAAGGAAATTTAAAAATCATGGTCAGGTAAGATAAGTTTTGCCTTCACAGCATTAAGACTTTTCACAAGCCCTACAGCAACTGGAAGGTACCCAAAGAAAGGCAGGACAGAAGTCTAGTAGCTTTCGAGAGAAGCATTGCCAAGGCCTGCCTGTCCTGAAAGGCAGAACAAGATCTTCAGAGTATCTAACACCTTCCTTTTCAACACCACCTAATGAGTAATGGAGACCCACTGAAAGTCTGTTTCTAAAAAATACCAACTCCGTGAATCACATTTTACAACACCACATTTGCAATTCCTTGCAGAAAGCACAACCGTGCTACAGAACCTTTATTTTCTGAGTATTTTCGAAGCATTTAAAGAAACAGTAAACAAATAAGGCCACAGTCTGGGAACCCTTTTGATCCAAGCTTTAACAACAGGAAACAGGGTTAAAGAACTGCGGTCTTACAAAACCACAGGAAAAGCAGAAGCAAAAAACTAAAGCGTACATAAACTAACATTTGTTAATGCTACTTGAATCCAAGTCTGCTTTCCAAGAAAGGTCTCTAGACAACATGTGTTCAAAACCCCTCCAAAGATGAAGCTCGAACACATAAAGCATAAGCTGCACGCAGTAATTCCAAGGTGAAAGCCTCCATCCCCGCACAGCAGCAAGGGCCGGGGCAGGAAGTGCCGGAGGCGTTGTCCCCGTACAAGGAGAAGCACCAAGCGCGTTCCAGCGGCGCGGCCCAGCCGGCCCCGAGCCGGGACCCTGCCGCGGGCTGGAGGGGCGGCCGGCGGCAGCCCTGCCCCAGCTGCGGCCGGGAACCGGCCGGGAAGCGACCGGGAACCCGCCGGGAACCACCGCAGCTCCGGGCGGGGCCGGGCCAGGCCAGGCAGCCGCGGCCGGCGCAGCGCGAAAAACGCGGGCGCCCTTCAGCTCCCCCCAGCAGCGGCAGAGCCGCCCGTACCTTGCTGCGGGCACCCGCTGCCGCTCGCTGCTGGGAGCCGGGCGCGGGGAAGGCGGAGGGCGGCACGTTGAGCATGGTGCCGGGCCGGGCCGCGCCGGGCCCCGGCGGGCGGGCGGGCGGAGCGCTGGGGCGCAGCGCGCAGGCGCCGCCGCGGCGGGCGGGGCCGCGGCCCGGCCGGGAGCGGGGCTGGCGCTGCGGGGCGGCGGGCGGGACACCGCCCGGACACCGCCGGGACACAGCCCGGATACCGCCGGGACACAGCCCGGACACCGCCCGGACACCGCCGGGACACCGCCCGGACACCGCCGGGACACCGCCGGGACACCGCCCGGACACCGCCGGGACACCGCCCGGATACCGCCGGGACACCGCCGGGACACCGCCCGGGAGCGGACAGCGCTGTGGGCAGGCAGCCCCGCGTACCCCGCCGCTGCCCTGTCTCCCCCTGGGGCGGATTTGCCCGCCCCTGCACTAGGATTGTCTTTCCGTCCAGGTGTCCCACGGCAGGCGCTGAGGCTGGCAGGCTGTGCAGACACGGCTGGCGCACCCCACGCTCTGAGGGTTCAGTGTGAGAAGGCTCTGGCGAGGGCCCCTGGGAGCACAGGGATGGGACAAGCACTGCCGGGCTGCTGCGGCGCGCTGAGCCAACGCGGCCTGCAGCAGCACGCACAAGGCAAGGGCAGCACCAGGTAGGTACACAGGTGCTACCTGACAGAGGCCTTTAAAGTTTTGGATTTGTTTTGTTCTTCTTTTAGGGGCCTTGGCCTTCACGATGATTGGTATCCAACTTTGTTTCAATTATAACAACTCAGATCTTTTTCTCGTTTCTTGATGTCCGCTTTACAAACAAACACAGTATTGAAACTATCACTTTTATGTATAAGAACACAGCACAATGAGAACACTAGTGATGCAAGGCAAACTCTTCTACACAAGAACTAGATTGGAACTTGGACTCTTTCCTCTGTTTCAAAAACAGCTATATTGTTTCTCTTCTCCATGTTTGAAACTGTTGTAACAGCAGGCACAACCCAATTGGAATACTTAATCCAATGATTCCTTGTTACACTTCCATAAGGAGCCTGCTAAATCACAATGATAAGCTTTCCTTGTGTTCTCAGACTTTGAGAAAGCCACATAACCATAAAGCCCTTCAAAGTAAGGCATCTGTTCTCTGCTTCAAAACTTGGTGTTCAACTTATGATCTACAAACTACAGGACCTCAGATATAAAAATATTAATCAATACCTTCCCCACTTAAACCAGGACAAGAACAGAACAAAGGAAAAAGGATAAAATTACAAGACATCTCACTTTTATTAAGAATAACTTACATAGAAATAAATTATCTTTAAAAATACTATAATATATATTAAGTTTAAATTAAGTCTTAGAAGTAGCATTAATCTTCCCTGCAGTCAGCAACCTGATTCTGTTCTTGAATCTTGTTCCAGTTGATCTTCGTCATCTTCACTGTCCGAGTCTTCATAAAAGGAAATTGTAGCCTGAACTGGGAAGTTTTTCAGAAGTGCTTCAGCTTCCTGATACAAGTAATCATAGCACTTTGATTTGGGCCAAAATAGTCTGAAACAAGTATACAATAGATTTGCTTATCATTATTATGTATTTTACATGGAGCAACATGCAAAAAACCAAAGTGAAATTCTATCAAAATGAGCATCTAACAGAACTTTTCCTTACATATTCAATTGTTGTTTTCTACATTCAAGTAAGAAAAACATTTCTCTAGATTCTTATTTTCATCTGAAGAGATAAATATAATTTAGAGTGCTAGTTTTGCAACAAAACTACAAAAGCCCAAGACTCTGAAACTTCCCACTCCAGTACCTCATTAACAGTACTATCTGGGGATCTGAATCCAAGTAGTGCTGCCCCTACTGGGGCAGTATTCCTAAGGAATATAATGGGTATCAAACAGGATCAAAATTACATTTGAATCAAATTAGTAGTTTTCTTAATGAAGGTCCCCAGCCTACGTAGTTGTTGATACTTGTTTTACACCATTGTAAAATTAAAGGAATGATAAAGGCCTACAGGTGATCATCTGTCTTTCAAAAAGCAACCACCAGACTCCATAAGAAAGATGTTCCATGTATGTAGATTTTAAAGCAGTCTGTGTTATATCCTGAAATTAACAAAATATGCTGATAGATCACAGCATGGGATATCAGCTAATGATAATATATTGCAACTAATATACTCCAAGTTCCTGTTCCTTTTCAACTACCGTCCTCTTTTGCTTACAGTTTGGTAATGGCTAGAAGGAACAGACCATGGAAGTCCCAATAGCCAAGAGACTAGCACACTACAACATAATGAAATGCTGACTACAGATTGCTTAAAATAGAAATGCAGTAAGAAACAAAGCTAGATGGCTTTCTAGCAATTACAATAAATATTTTTTAGGCTACTGTTTAGCAGAACACTGTTTCCTTGGAAGCACAAAGCCACTGACATTGGCTTTATAACAAGTCTCCATTCCCAATGTTCCCTGTAGCAACATTCACTCAAACCTAAGCATTCGAGCAGTCACAGTGAAGTTTGCCTGTACAGTTGCTCAGTTAGTACATCACTATTTAAAGGATGAGAGCCTAGATTTGAAAGAAAGCTGCATTTTTTCTGGAAAAACTACCTGTGCAATTATTTTAAGCATCTTGCAACACCTAGGAGCATTTCTGAATACAGACTCTCATGCAGATTCAACTGTTGTTATTTTCTTTACTTCAGAACTGATAGTGCAGATACTATCATTGCCTTTATCATTAAAGCAGCAGTTACACAAGTATGTTCTTCGGCAATGGTGGCTTAGCCAGTGCATACCTTCTCTTCCTGCCACTCTCTCAAGCCTCCACCTGCCTCTTTGCTGTGGGAGGGCGCTCGATATTTGCACAGCAACACAGCCTAGGAAATACACCCCTGTGCCTTTTTTAATCCTGGGCACAGGAATGAGTAACAAGGTGCTTCAGCCAACTCCACCACCACCAAAAACCACGTAACTGTGTAATAGGTCTTAAGTCTCACATCACAGTGGCACCTCAAATATGTTAAATATAAGAGTCCAGGTAATCATTTGCCCAAGGACCTGTCAGTGAAAAAACACATAGACGGCCAATTCACTCCCTAGGCACTTTCATATCCACATAAATAATGTGGTTGGAAACAAAAGGGGTGGGAGAGCTAATGCTAAGACATTACACTGGCAAGCGAGGGACGCGCTCCTGGCCTCGCAGCGCCACGGGCCCCTGGTGCCCCGAGGTCCCCCGCGGGAACCGGCGGCGGCAGGGGAGTGCCACTAACCTGACAGGGTGCGTGTACTGCGCCAGCTTTCGGGAGGCTTCCGCCAGCTCGCCGGGGCTGTGAGGCTGCGGAGGAGAGAGCAGAGGTCAGTCCGCCGGCACGGCACCGGGCCCTCCCCGAGCATCCCCGCCCCGCCGGGATGCCGGCGGCAGACGCTCCGCCACGCCGCTGTCCACTCACCGCTGCGGGGCAGGGGCCGCCCCGCCGGGCCGCCTCGCCCGGCGCGGGCACCCACGGTCTCCAGAAGGGCGCAGGACTGCGGGGCGAGGGCAGGGCCGTCAGCGCGGCACCGGGCCGCCCCCCGCACCGGGAGGAGGAGAGGGGCGAGTAGCCCTGCGGGGGCAGCGCTGCCGAGCGCGGGCAGCCGCCCTCCATCCTCCGCCGGCCCGCGGCCGCTCGCCTATCGCTGCCGCCCGCGGGCGCGGAGGCTTTTATAGCCGGCGGCGGGCGCTGCGCGGCGCGGAGCCCCCTCCTCCCCCGGCTCATCCGCCAGCGCCATCCACAAAAAGGCTCCGCGCGAAGGCGCCGCCGTGTAAACACGGGGCGCGGGCGCGTGCATGCCCCAAATGGCCCGGGCAGGGGAGGCGGGCGCGGGGGGGATCTGGCGAGCCGGTGTTAATCGCACTCGAGCAGACACATGGCAGCTGCCGCGGGGCGGGCGGGGACAGCCCTGTGGGAACGGAGCGGGGGCGGCGGCACCGGGGACATGCCCGGCCGCTCCGCGCCCCGGCTGCGGGCTCCGGCCGCCGCCGCCGCGGCCTTTTGTTGTTCCAGCCGTGTTTGTTTATGCTCGGAGCGTCGAGTCACGGCGTGTGGGCAACGCGGCCCGGCCGCCGATGGCAGCTCCCCGCGGGAGCACGCACGGACAAAGGGACCCCGTCCCGGGGTGGCGGAGAGCAGGGCACCCTTTGGAGAGTCCTTACTCAGTAATGCGTCAGCCCCAGTGCGCTGCCTGACGTGTTCCTTCTCAGGCAACGGCGGTGGTTTTTTTATATATTTATATCTATATATATGCACACGCACACAAACATGCACACACACACACCTTTATTTAATAGACTATTTTTACCGAGGAAACGTGCCTGCCTTAATTCTTTTTTCTTGTGGTCTCAATACATTCCACTGCCAGCACTGGATGCTGTCACTATACGTGCTAGGTTTTACGCGGAGCTCCTACTGTTTCCAAGTTCCCCGGTACCAAGGGAGTATACTTTTGTTTCTATTTTTATTTATTATTCTTGTTTCCCCTTTTCTTTCTGAGGTTGCAATCAGTGATGCATGTGAAAGTGGCAGAAACAAGTTACACAAGAGCTGGTAAACGGTAATAATATCAGCCTTAAGGACTAGGAGAGTTGGTTGGATGGAGCTGCCCTAGATGCTGAAGAAGGACTTAAACCCCGGGTAATGTAGAGACCCACATTAGTGAGGCACTGTTTGGAATAACATTTTGCCTTCTTGAATTTGTCTGAGGCATAAGGGGTGTGTCTATCTTAGCAGTGCCCAAGAGCAGCTGCAAGTAGCCTAAAAATCGATAGCCACTCTAAAAAGAGTAGCTACAGATTTGTGCCTTCTCTACATCATCTTCAGCACAATCCATTTCACTAAATAGTACCAGTTGTAAAAAATGTTATCTATTAGAAGCTGTGTGGGAAATGTAATCAGGTTAATCTTTCACATCCTAAAGTCAAAACTAGATGCAGACTGACTTGCCTTTCTGAAGGAAAACAGCCACTTACGTTGAACAAGAAATAGTTGGAAGAGTGCACACATTCAAGCTTGTGTGTGCTGGGATACATTCCAACTTTACCAGTGGACATACTCTGTAATTTTGCAGATTTGTGCCTTTTAGCCACCTGGAAAAATTGATAATTATGACTTTAAGAGTTAATAAAGGAAAATGTGTTTTCCAGTGAAAAGTTAAGCAGGATGTGATGTTTGTAGCTCTTTGTGGTTTTCTCTGCCTCATTTTCACTGTGGCCTAGAATGAGATTAATTAAAATAAGTGAACAAAAGGCTCAAACTACAATACATATTCATCTCACAGCTAAGAAATAGAAAATAGAGCAAAGTATAGTAACTTGTGCAATAAACCAAATGTGATCAAAAGCAAAACTGTTTCTCCTTTTTCTCTTTTTCCAAATAGCTACTGTGAAGCTTGTCAGGTGAGATAAAGAATAAAATAAATATTTAAAAGCTATCTGGTGGTAGATTCTTCTTTGGCCTAAATGAAGCAAAAGCAATAATTTTTATATTTCACATTTTTCCTTTGAGAAGTTTAACACAGGCTATGTAAGGAAAAAAAAAGAGGCAAGGTTCATTGTCTAAAGAAGGAAAGCTGAAACATCCTCTGTCACATTAGTAGTGACAAAGGGCTGGGAGAACACATCAGCTTTATCTGTTTGGTAAAGCATAAAAATTAGATTTAATGTCTACAGTGAAAGCAACAAAAGATGGGGTGTCTTCGACCAATGACTCTTAATTGTCTCAGCATTCCTTTTAGTACCTGCCTGAAATGAGAAAATGTCCTAGGGAGAAAGTGTGATTTACCCATTAGAGAGCAAATTGAAAGAGAGGTGTTGAAAGGATAAGGAGAAAATAATGAATAACAGCTGTTGTTCCCCTGCATATTTTCACACTGTATGAGTCTTCTTGGCTTTATAGTTCAGTAATGCAGTCCTGTTTGTCAAGAGAAATACAGAAGTCTGTTGTTGCAATAATAACTTATCATTGGCATCATAAAAAAAAAAAAACCTAAACAATAAAACCTTTGACATTTTGCTATCTTCACTTGACATACAAGCTGGAAACTGGTAAATCAGGGATAGAAGATGCTTTGTCATGTTCGTCTCTTCTGCAATTTGTGCACTATGTTTAACACGATAGAACAGTGCATTGGTTTCATCATGTTAAAATCTCTTCAGGTAGGAGCTACATACCACTGCTGAACAGATAGTTGGTCTAATGGGAGTGATAGAATACACTTTATACTGGTTATTTTAATAGAACCAGTGGAATATATAGCTCTAAATTCAACACGAAGTCCAACAGAGGCAGTTCCCTCATGCATTCTTGACTCATCTAACTAAAGCAACATTCCTCATTCTGTGCCTTAGCTCCTGTTTTTTTGTATTTCTAAATTTTTTAAAAAGTGCGAGTCCTGAGTTGAAGGTTGTTCCTGGTTGTACATATATAACTAGATTGCCTCAAGGAAAGGCAGGCTGGGAATCAGAATCTAATACACTGTGCTTCATTATACTGGAATGAAAATGGAAAAATTGTGGTTTATGGTTTTATTTACTCTTATGCAATAGCAAAAATACCTGAGATTTTTGAAAAATTCTCTCAAGGTCATAGATTTTAAAAATTTCCTTATACCACTTTTCAAGCAGATCATAGCCGGTCATTTACAGTGTTCAATCCTGCTTACCGTAGGTTGATTTTTTAATAGGGATTTTTATACAAAATTACAATCAAAGAACTCCAAATGCAGTACAAAAATTCTTGTACAGTGATTCTTGTACTCTGATTTTACAGCAGTGGAACAAAACCCTGATTTTGTTTTCTCAGAATTATGCCATGTAGTATTTTTCCAGAATTAAAGTTTTTTTTTTTTATTTTGTTTAAATAGATTAAAAATGCTTTTGTGGCTTTATGCAGTGTGACATCTTGAAATGTAGTGCACTGTTAATAGGATACACAGAAAAGCACACACAGAGATCTGTGCAGATTTCAGTGTGCTACTATAAACAAAGAAGGTGTTCACAAATGGCTTAGAGCTAAATTTGACAAGACAGTGCTAATCACACTGGGACATGGGAATATCTGGACAGAGGACAGTCAGCTGGCTTCATACTCATCTCCCTCAAGGCAGAGATACCTCTCACTTATTAGTAAAGCAGGGACATTGCATGAAAATTATTGCATGCGTTGATATAGGGAGAGAATTGGCTTGATTTTGTCAGGAATTTGTTTTAGTGGCAAAAACAAGGTCAAACATGTGGAACTCTTCTTCTGCTTACTGAGACTGAACTGAGAAAACTGATTAACAGACAAAATTTGATCTTGATTATTTTATAGCCTAGCTTCATCTTGATGCAACACTTTTAGCAACACTTGAGTACCAGGTTTTGAAATTAAGTGTATGCCTGATATTTGCATACAGGTATTGACTGTACATGCATATGTCATTTATTTACATGTTTGATCTGTTATCTCATAAATGGATCTCTTTTTTTCCCCACTAAAAACAAAGCTTGCACAGGAAATTTGTGAACAGATTTGATAGCTGTTCATCTGTGTACAATAACAATTTAATGAAAACTTTGCAAAGGTATCTTATGAGACCTTAAGCATTTTGTAGTTGTGATATGAAACAAAGGACATTCTTTCTGCTGTAGTTTGAAAATAAATATAAATTTGCAAAGAAAAAAGACCACCACAGATGTGTTCACCAGCTTTTATCCTTACCATTATTGAGATTTGATACAATATTTTCAATAGACCTAATGTACCCGAAAGTGGATTTCATTCAGCATTTCCACAAAATGATTTATTTTTGTCAGTAAATAATATGAGATCCAAACTACATTCCAAGAAATAAATACAAATTAACTTTTTTATTAATTAAAAAAAAAAAAGGAACAGAACTAAGTCAGCAGACCAGTGTATTCACATTACCAGTGTTACCACTGGCTATAAAATGATTGCTTGGCTAACAATGGTGTTGCTTGTCCTATTGCTAGTGTGCATTTTTTCCATCCTATTTATATACAAAAATGCAGTACATAATCAAACAGAGTAATTCCACTTAAACCAAAGTGCCAAGTGATTCCTACAGAGGTGTATGTTGGAGGTCTAAAGATGGGATCCTCTTTCATGGACATATCCATCCCACTTCTCCTCATTTTACTGGATTTTGACTAGGCTGTAATAGTATTGAACATCGTTCTTTCATTTTATGGAAAAACTTATTCTTCCCCCTCCTCTATTTAACTGAAACACTGTAAAAAAAACTTTATGGAAAGGAGGGATGCAATTCCAAGAAAGGATATCTTTTCACCCTCTTTTTGCTCTTGGGAACCAGCTCCTGGTAACTCAGGAGTGAATGGCCTCACTTGAAGGGGTGCGGCTCTACATTTCACCCTGTCAGTGAGACTGAAATCCTCTAACTTCATTAGGTTTATCCCAGAACTGGTGCTGTTACAAACTTTGTGTGGGGGTGTGATGGTTGGAATTTGCTGGGGGATGAGCAGTGTGTTGTGTTCGTGGCACACATGAGGCTACGTGAGAGCCCGGCACGTCCATGTGGCAAAGTGTGACTGCACACAGCAGCTTGGGCTTCCTCATTTCCCTCCCCCTCTGCACTCCACTCTCAGGCCCAGGCTGGCAAATGGTAAAGGGTAATGTATCCACATGGGAAAGCAGCACATTAAGGGACTGAGAATGTGTAATGGAATCAGCCACCAGTTACAGGGATCTTTAAAAAAAATAGGAGTATCACTTGCTATTGAGTTATGGGCAATTTAAATTCCATGCAGATAAGAAACAGAGACATCAGTGCTGAACACCAATCTTGTTAACCTCTTTTAATAGAATAGGAGTCAGTGAAACACTGATACATCATTGATGC